TAAGTTTTAATAATTTTACTTATTTTATCTTTTAATCCTTATAATTTAAAATATATCTTTTAAGTCTTTGTAATTTTTTTAATTATTTTTAACCCTTATAATTTAAGATAGATTTTTTAATTTTTATATTTATAATTTTTTTTAATCATTTTAGTCTCTGTCATTATTATTTCTTTTAACATTATTTTTTTATATTGTTATGGTAGAAGTATTAATTTAATTTATGAGTTTCATTTTGAATTTATTTTACTGAAGCTATTTTAAATTAATTCTTTAAATATCTCATGCCTCTTTTATACTATCACATACGACACTTATAGTTGAGAGATAATTTTTTTTCCTTCAAAAATTAAATACTTCTATCACTTCAACACAAAACAAATAATATCACAAAAAATTAATAATAAAAAAAATAAATATAAAAATTAAAATAATATATTTTAAATTATAGATATTAAAGCGTAAATGAAGTGAAACTATATAAAATTAAAAAAAATTATTTTAACCTAAAATCAAATATAAATTATAGATTATTACAATAATTATCAAACCTTTCTTTGTATGACACGTGTCAAGACATCTACTAGTTGCTTTTCGCTGTTTTCAAGATCTTCCATGGATGTCATCTTTAATGGGTCGGGTTCGTATAACCTGCTTTCATGGTCCCAACTTTAAAATCATTATTGAAAAGAAAGAAAAAAACAAACAAACAAATACATAAGATAGTAATAGTATTATTTTACAACAAGAAAATCAAGCAATGACTAATTTTGGTTTCAAGCAACCTTATCTGCTCCTCGGCCATTTGAAGTTGTTGTTGTAACCTATTAACTTCTTGTTGGAGTTCCTAATTAAGAAGAAATTTTCAACAGGCAATGGGAAACAAAAAAAAAAAAAAAAAAAGAAGAAAAAAGTCTTATCTCACAAGAAGATTGAGTTGTATAAATCAATAAATCACTAAAAGCTAGTGTTTAACATAAAATATATCATTGTTTTTTTACCTCAATCTCAGAGTTAATGTCTCCCGGACTTGTTTGAAGCAGTAGATAAAACAGTAGGAAAGAGAAAACAAAACTTAGCCATATTAGATCATCCATTTTTTTTTTAAATATAATCAAAAGAATTTTGAAAGATTTAACATTATACGAACTTGGCCAGTTGAAGTGCTATGTCATTTTCACTCCTTAGTTGCTGAAGGGTCCTAAGCAAATACTGCAAAATGCTCAAACATTTTATGAACACTAAAAGAAAAATAACTTCTATCTACATGTGATTTGTTCTTACATATATAATAACTGTGGATAAAAATAAATATTTAATGTCTGTACTTATAGTTGGTTGTCGTATGTAGCGTTTTAAAAAAATGTTATATATATATTTTGCGAATAAAATGTTAATATAACTCAAATAATAACGAATGGATAAATTATGTGTGCATCAATATAAATTAAATATTTACTTACAAGTTTTAAATTTTTAGTGATATTTTTTGTTTATCACTACATGTTAATTTTTTATTTTATTTTATTGTAGAGGTATTTTATTTATTTATTTTACCTATATAAATTACAATTACAACAATAAAATTTGATAGAAAATAATTAGGCTTATAATAAAGAAACAACTTATTTTAATTTGAAGACACTTAAAATAGTCTTAAGCTAACTTGGACAATAAATTTGAAATAGGGAGTGTTTAAAGAACATTTTAGGAAATGTAATATTTGAGATAATTTATTCAATAACTTCTTAAAATTTGTCTGCCTAAACTTTTGAAATCAAAAATTAATTGTTATTGTATAAACTTTTTTAGATCATTTTTATATAAAAAAAATTATAATAAGATATAAATACTCATAACATAAGCTTTTATTGAGTAAATATATTTAACTCAAACATATAATAATATGCATGCTTGAAATATTGCTGTAAAATTAATTCTATTTTTTTAGGGCGGAGGTTTCCTTTTTATATAAATATAGAAATTTAAAATACCTCCTTATTTTGAATACCCCTGCAATAAAAAAATTAGTGTAATTAAGAATTACTATAAAGGTGGAAAAGAAAGAGTAAAAGAAGGTAGAAAATAGAGTATTCTTGAGAGTATACCTGCGGTAAGGTAGCTCAGGAAAACTTACAGCACTGCAAGAAAAAAAATAATTAAATTAAAGAGTCGAATGTGATATGAAATTTATAAATATAATATCACAGGAGAAATTAAGTTGCATGTTCAGGACTTACTTATCTCTTTCTTGGTCAGGAAGATTAATGTAACGAGTAAGAACATCCTCAATCCTGATCACCACAACAATAACAATATTTATGGCTCATTATATAAAGTATGAATCTTATCTTCAGTCCTAGGACTCCAAATAAAAATAAAAAATAAAAACACAGAAGAATAAATGTCACATTCATTAATATGATCAAAGGCGGGATGATATATTGATCTATAAAATCGAAGACCGAGAAAATATATATGGAGAAGACATATTTAAAACAAATAAAGAAAAATAAATTTGTAACAAGCACAGCTACCATATGGATTTAAAGCTATACTCTTAGAAACTTTAATATCATATCTGAAAGGATAGGTTAAATCAGAGGATGGATTTAGTTTAATCCACACCATATTTTCATCTGTAAAGCAAAAATATAAATATATATCTCTACAAGGTGTTATGACTATATTAGTTCTTAAATTTAAGAGAATAACTACTTGAAATTTTTTTTCTTTTGGCAAAACTATTAGTTGTCAAGGTCAATTTAAATTATGATAATGCAAAGATTCAATAACATATATCTTGGTCAAGATCCTAATCTGCAGGGTAGAGGATATTCCGCTAAAAAGGTAGAAACAAAAATTAACAATCTAATTTTCTCAAACAAAAAAATTAACAATCTATCTGCCAAGAAGAAGACAGAAAACTCCAGTTTACAAAACTAAGACAAATATGTCTGTTTTGCTATCTAACTCACGCCACCGTATCTAAAACATAAACAATGCATATTGATGTGGAATAGGTGAATTAAGGAATCCTAATTCCTTAGTAATGGGTGGTATAGAAATTTGTGATGTGCTCCCCAAAGCAAATGTTGTTGTGTTCTTTTAAGATAAATTCCATCCTCCAAATTGAAAAGGAAATAACGTGACTAGTTATAGTAATTGCATTCATGAGTTCATAAACCTTCAAAAGTGAGAAATATAAGAAAATGGAGGAATAATAACTTCAACTTCCTCAAAACGAATCCGAAGAAGCAACCACCCTTCACATACATTAATCTCCTTGTTACATTGATTCAAGAGATTTAAAACTATTTTGCATTTAAAGGGAAACTAAATTCCAACGAGGATTCATCATAAATATCATTACAAGTAATAACAAACAAATGTAGAAGAAAGAAACAAAACTAAATCCATCCTTTATAAAGAAACATATAATTAAATTCAATTTCTATCGATAAATATTTCATATCAATAATATCATAAAAAATAATGGAAATGTGTACCTCTTCCTGCCGGAAAAGTGATGAACACGTCCAGATGAAGAAAACATTATAACGGCAATATCAATGTCGCATAAGATTGATAGTTCATAGGCTTTCTTGATGAGACCATTTCTACGCTTTGAGAATGTAACTTGTCGATTCGCGGGGTTCTCTATTCTCTTTATCTCAAGTTTAACACGACCCATGTTGATATAGATGATTTATTATAATTATTGTCTATCGAGTGTAGAGTATGTTGTTGTATGCAAAAAAAGGAAATGAAGAATCTGAAGGAGGAAATCTAAATTGCCCTCTTAAATTTTTTTTGAATCGGAAAAGGAGAAAATTATAATATATGAGAACATGCACGACGAAGCTTAAAAGAAGGAGGTGTTGGATAGGAGAGAGAGAGAAGGGAATGGTTATAAACGGGAGAGAGGAGAAAACGAAGGGAGCACTGGTGGACCTTTTATGTGTGGCTCGCCCAAAAAATAATTTTATATATATTATATTTGTATTATTATATTATTAATTATAATAAGATTAAATATTTTTTTAGTCTCTTAAATTTAAGATAAATTTATTTTTGGTCCCTCAAATTTAAAATTGTTTTTAATTCTTATAATTTTTAAAAATTTTATTTTAGTCATTCAGATTATCAATAACATCTAAAAATAACAAATTAAGACGGTTATACAATATCAATTGGATTTAATGTGATATTTTGACTAACAAAAACATCAATAGGTAGGTTTTATACAATAATATTTGATAAATTTTTTAACAAAATTTGAATATAAGAACTAGAATAAGATTTTTTGAAATTATAAGAACTAAAAACATCAACTTTAAATTTGAGAGACCAAAAATAATTTATCCTAAATTTAAGAGACTAAAAATATATTTAAACCTTGTAATAAAATTTAAAAAATTGAAATTCTGAATGTATTCCTTCTCCCAATTAATGATAATTTTTTATAACTTTTATGAAATGATTAGTGAATGATAATATTTATTTTTAAATTTTATTATTATACATTTTTATTTTGAGTAAAGAAATTGAGAAATTTTATTATCTTTTTAATCAATAAAAAAATTAATTTATATATAAAAAAAATTAATTTCACATTCTCAAATTTTTTTCCGGTGGCGGAGAAATCGATTGATGAGTTTATAAGGAAAGGGTCGTAACTCATTTCATTCTTTATGAATTTATAGAAGCAAAACCAAATCACTACTTTGCAACATACTTTATTGTATGATTAGGAAATATTATGTACTTATCCTCTCAGCTACAGCTAACTTTTACGTGTGACGCAGGTCTCGGCCAATTTCCACTTAATCAAGATTTTTTTTCTTCTAACTTCTTTTCGTAAATTAAAAAACTCAGTTGTACGTTTTTGAACGGCAAATAAAATATATTATATTGGTATAAGGGGTACCAGAACTCATATACAAAATTATATGACTATTAGAATTGGTATAATTCACCATCTGCATACTCCCCACATGAAGTTACCAATAACGGTTTCATGATAGTATTGTCGCTACATGTTTCATGGCAACAGGTTGTGACACTTCTTTGATAAACAAATAGGTTGCAAACCCCAATCAGTACCCTGATACACAAATACACAGGCTAGGATTGCAACACCACTGGGTGAAAGTGAAGCCAAATGATTTTTTGAGAGTTGAGAACCACCTCCCGCTGCAAATCAAAATATCCTTCATTATTTCATCATGATTGAAGGTCCTTTCTTGAAATATGCATTTGTTTCTATGCCTCCACAAGGTCCAGGTTGTGGCCATCCACAATATGTGCCACGTTTTCCACCCTATCTTGTGAGTGTAACATTCCAGGTATAGAAAACTCAGATGTTGAATGACTTGCATAGGAAGTGGTGAAGGACAATTGATCCAAGGGAGGCATTGCTTCCAAACTTTATTAGTAAGAGGGCTGTTAGTACCAGGAAATGAATTCGGAGACACTCGAAATACAGAGGCGCTCGAAATCTAAATTGATTGGAAAATGGCAAAGGAGGTCTCAGAAATGAAGAGAATTAGAGGATACTCGAAGACACCTTTCATGAAGTTCTCGAAATCATGACACTAGGAAGGATGCTATTCAGGAGGACTCGGCCTAGCAACCCCTCAAGGTACAAGCAAAAATCAGGAAACATTCAAGTATAGTTTTCGTTGGTTACTCGAAATCCCAAGAATCCGGACATACACGAATACACTTCGTAACCTCTCAGAATGAAGAACTTAATGGAGACACGATCTAAGAGTGGTCGAAGTAGCATGGGATAAGTGTCAAAGGCTGCATAACGGTTTATGGAAGTTAGTGAGCAGTTCCATGAATCATCCAAAGACGTGCCCGGGAATAAGCCACGATGTGGAAGTTTAAAACGGTTATGCACTTCCGGGGCACGTCAGAAATAACTTACCTGAATCTTTGTCTATTTGTCTATAAATTAAACGAGCCTTGCTCGTAGTAGGGGTCAGAAATCTAATTCCCACAATTCTCACACGCACTCCTCGCCGGTGCACAAGGCACAACGTGCATACGAGACAGCTTTGGGTACGATTTCTCGACCACTTTTCTTTTCCTTTTTTAGGAGTAGCGTAGCATAGCATAATCTAGTCTAGTGTAGTGTAGTCACTCTGAACATGTTTCGTTATCCTTATGAATTGTAATTCTGTTACCATTTAATGAAGGACATGATTTCTGCAGTCAATATACATGTCATCTGTTCGATTCACGTTAATTATTATATGCATGAAATTGATTGTACAATTAGCATAGATCTTCTGATGTGCTGAAACAAGCATAGATCTCCTGAAGTGCTAAAACTGGCATAGATCTTCTGACGTGCTCAAAATAGTGAGCATAGATCTTCTGATGTGCCAAACCAGCATAGATCTTCTGAAGTGCTCGAAACACTGAGCATAGATCTTCTGACGTGCTGAAACAACACCCTAAATTAACTCTATTCACTGCTTGTATGATTTTATTTTCTTTCGCTGAAAGTCTTCGATTCTGTCATGTCACGAACACCACAAATTGAAACGTGAACTCGTGCTAGTTTGAACAAAAAGAACCTACGAACGAAATCCCCACAAACAAATTGGCACGCCCGGTGGGACACGTTTGGTGAGCTTAATCGAACTAAGTGAACTAGTTTTGTGTGTGTTTAATTTTTATGAGACTTAGAAGTGGTAGAACTATCTCTACATCCAGCAGAAGAGATGCGCTTAATGAAGAATAGGGTAATTGACGATCTGTTTGCACTTGTAGTTGGTTGTTGTATGTAACATTTAAAAAAAATGTTTAAATAAGGTTTTGCGTACCAGAAATAAAATGTTATTATATAAGTCAACAATTACAACAATAAAATTTGATAGAAAATAGTTAGGTTTAAAATAAAGAATCAACTTGTTTTAATTTGAAAACCCTTAAAATATCTAAAGCTAAACTTTTGAAATCAATAAGTAATTGTTTTTGTATAAACTCTTTTAGATCATTTTTATAATAAAAAAAATGTAACAAGTTATAAATATTCATAACATAAGATTCTATTGAGTAAATATTTAACTCAAACATATAATAATATGCATGCTTGAAATATTCTCATAAAATTAATTCTATTTTTTAGGGCGGAGGTTTCCTTTTTATATAAATATAGTAATTTAAAATACCTCCTTATTTTGAATACCCCTGCAATAAACAAATTAGTGTAATTAAGTATTACTATAAAGGAGGAAAAGAAAGAGGAAAAGAAGGTAGAGAATGGAGAATTCTTGAGAGTATACCTGCGGTAAGGTAGCTCAGGAAAACTTACAGCACTGCAAAAAAAAAAATAATTAAATTAAAAAGTCGAGTGTGATATGAATTTATAAACATAATATCACATGAGAAATTAAGTTGTATGTTCAGAACTTACTTATCTCTTTCTTGGTCAGGAAGATTAATGTAACGAGTAAAAACATCCTCAATCCTGATCACCCCAACAATAACAATATCTTTATGGCTCATTATATATAAAGTATGAATCTTATCTTCAGTCGTAACACTCAAAATAAAAATGAAAAAATAAAAACACAGGAGAATAAATGTCACATTCATTAATATGATCAAAGGCGGGATGATATATTAATCTATAAAATCAAAGACCGAGAAAATATACCAATAGAGAAAACATATTTAAAACAAATAAACAAAAATAAAACTGTAACAAGCACAGCTACCATAAGGATTTAAAGCTATACTCTTAGAAATCTATGAAATGAACCTAATTATATGTTTGGTCAAAAAGAATGAAAGTAAGAAAGGAAAAAAAATTGAAATTACAATTAAAGTAAAAAAAAAAAAATTATCTCTAGAAATTAACTTATTTTTTCTTCTCATTTTCTATTCAATAAAAAAATACGATTATTTTTTTTATTCATCGAAATTATAATAAAATTGGAACTAAACCTTACAAACTACTCCAACATTTTATTTCCTTTTTTCTTCCAATTTCATATCTTCTGAATATAAGAAAAATGACATTGTTTTAATGTTTAAGTCTCTGTCGGAAATCACAAGTTTTGAGGGAAAAAAATGGAAAGAAAAAAGGGGTTTGAGGCAATGAGGGATTTTTTCAAACAGATGGCAGACAAAACTCACTGGCAGTTACAGAGCAGTATGCACTTAACCATATCCTCGAACAAGGTGGGAGACCTAAAAACCCTTCCAGCGAAGCTTCTATCTGGAAGGTCGAGAGTCATGCTTCTGAACTCCATCACAGCCTTCTCTTCCGCTTGGGACAAGCGCAGCATTCTACAAATCTGAGACGTAATGTGGCGTTGGTGTTGGTGTTGGTGTTGGTGTTGGTGTTGGTGTTGGGGAGAGAGTGCGTGAACCCTAACGGCGAGGGTTTGGGAGCGCTGAGAAATCGAAACGAGGGAGGAGGAGGAGGAGAGAGGGCGCGTGAGGGTTTTGGAGAGTGGGTCCCACTGGTTGGGTGCCATCATGAAGAAGCCGTAACTGCACACTGCTTCTTCCAATTGGAATGCGAAGGGGAGTTCGATGTTGATGTTGAAGTCGAAGTGGAACGATGCGCTTCGTTCTGCAACCTTCTCCTCCATCAGAAACAGAGTGTCTATCACTCTCTCTCTGTCTGATGATGATAATGAAAAACATCAGAATTTCAGTAGTTCGCTGGTTTGCATGGGATTTGATTGCACCACCGGTTCAGATCCGGTTTCATAACATAAACCGGTCCGCTGAAGAAAGATGATGATCGGGAAGTTATGCTTTGCCCGAGATCTAGCGCTATGTTCGATAGATCAGCGGCTAAGGCTTTTGAGGAATTTGAAATTATGAAGAATTATAAAGCTGAGAGGCTCGAGGAAAGTCAAATATTTAATGTAGATAGTATTTATTGGCTGATAAAAAAAAATGTAGATAGTATTTAATGTTTGTACTTGTAGTTGGTTGTTGTATGTAACATTTAAAAAAAATGTTTAAATAAGGTTTTGCGTACCAGAAATAAAATGTTATTATATAAGTCAACAATTACAACAATAAAATTTGATAGAAAATAGTTAGGTTTAAAATAAAGAATCAACTTGTTTTAATTTGAAAACCCTTAAAATATCTAAAGCTAAACTTTTGAAATCAATAAGTAATTGTTTTTGTATAAACTCTTTTAGATCATTTTTATAATAAAAAAAATGTAACAAGTTATAAATATTCATAACATAAGATTCTATTGAGTAAATATTTAACTCAAACATATAATAATATGCATGCTTGAAATATTCTCATAAAATTAATTCTATTTTTTAGGGCGGAGGTTTCCTTTTTATATAAATATAGTAATTTAAAATACCTCCTTATTTTGAATACCCCTGCAATAAACAAATTAGTGTAATTAAGTATTACTATAAAGGAGGAAAAGAAAGAGGAAAAGAAGGTAGAGAATGGAGAATTCTTGAGAGTATACCTGCGGTAAGGTAGCTCAGGAAAACTTACAGCACTGCAAAAAAAAAAATAATTAAATTAAAAAGTCGAGTGTGATATGAATTTATAAACATAATATCACATGAGAAATTAAGTTGTATGTTCAGAACTTACTTATCTCTTTCTTGGTCAGGAAGATTAATGTAACGAGTAAAAACATCCTCAATCCTGATCACCCCAACAATAACAATATCTTTATGGCTCATTATATATAAAGTATGAATCTTATCTTCAGTCGTAACACTCAAAATAAAAATGAAAAAATAAAAACACAGGAGAATAAATGTCACATTCATTAATATGATCAAAGGCGGGATGATATATTAATCTATAAAATCAAAGACCGAGAAAATATACCAATAGAGAAAACATATTTAAAACAAATAAACAAAAATAAAACTGTAACAAGCACAGCTACCATAAGGATTTAAAGCTATACTCTTAGAAACTTTAATATCATATCTGAAAGAATTGGTTAAATCAGAGGATGAATTTAGTTTAATTCCACACCATATTTTCATCTGTAAAGCAAAAATATAAATATATATCTCTACAAGGTGTTATGACTAAAATTAGTTCTTAAATTTAAGAGAATAACTACTTGACATTTTTTTTCTTTTGGAAAAAATATTAGTTGTCAAGGTCAATTTAAATTATGATAATGCAAAGATTCAATAACATATATCTTGGTCAAGATCCTAATCTGCAGGGTAGAGGATATGCCTATTCCGCTAAAAAGGTAGAACAAAAATTAACAATCTAATTTTCTCAAACAAACTGTAAAGCAAAAATATAAATATATATCTCTACAAGGTGTTATGACTAAAATTAGTTCTTAAATTTAAGAGAATAACTACTTGACATTTTTTTTCTTTTGGAAAAAATATTAGTTGTCAAGGTCAATTTAAATTATGATAATGCAAAGATTCAATAACATATATCTTGGTCAAGATCCTAATCTGCAGGGTAGAGGATATGCCTATTCCGCTAAAAAGGTAGAACAAAAATTAACAATCTAATTTTCTCAAACAAAAAACATAGTGATTGGATCGAAACGAAAAGTAGATCACATACAAAACCTGAAATTGTCTTTCGAGAGAATAAGGAAACATGGGCTGAAAATGAATCTATTGAAATGTGCTTTTGGTGTTTCAGCGGGGGATTTCCTAGGGTTCGTCGTACACCAGAAAGGCATTGAAATAGATAAGAACAAGACTCGAGCCATCATGGAAACTAAGCCTCCTTTGAATAAGAAGGAGTTGCAGTCTTTGCTAGGTAAGATAAATTTCCTTCGAAGATTTATTTCGAATCTATCAGGAAAGACTAAGTGTTTTCCCCTTTGTTACGATTGAGAAGGGAGGAAGAATTTCGATGGGACGAAAGTCATCAAAAGGCATGCGAGGAGATCAAGAATTATTTGATCAACCCTCCAGTGATGGTGCCACCTTCTGAAGGAGGAAAGCTAAAATTATATGTCTCGGCCAATGATTTGAATATTGCGGGCATGCTGGGTGTTCACAGGTCGAAAAGTGGTCCAGTATGCCCAGTCGAGAGGAATCAAAATGATTACTTCGACACCCTACTATGCACAAGCTAACGGCCAAGTCGAGGCTGCTAACAAAGTGATCATAGCGTTGATCAAAAAACATATTTCGGGGAAACCTCGAAATTGGCATGAAACATTGCTACAAATATTGTGGGCCTACAGAAATTCACCCTAGAATGCCACCCAAACTACGCCATACAAGTTGGTGTATGGTCACGAAGCAATTTTGCCTATTGATATCAATTTGCAATACATTCATGTGCAAAGGCAAAATGAGTTACCAGTCGAGGATTATTGGAATTCAATGTACGATGAACTAATTTGACTGGATGACAAAAGAATGACAGCCATGCAAAATGTCATTCACCAGAAAAAAAATAGCTCGAGTTTATAACAAAAAGGTTAAGAGTAAACAATTTTCGAGTGGAGACTTAGTCCTAAAAGTCATCCTCCCAATGGACCAAAAATCTCGAGATCGGGGTAAATGGACCTACAATTGGGAAGGACCGTTCATCATCGAAAGACTCTACTCGAACAATGCATACTTGATCAAAGAGTTAAATTCGAGAAATGCAAGTAAAGTGATCAACGGAAAATATTTGAAGAAATTTCATGAAAGTAGCATGTACTGAGAAGAGAAGAATGTTCAAAGAGATAAGGAATAAAGGTACAAGCGGATAAACATTAAATTATAAATAGGCATCAGGTTTTCGATCACTTGCAGAATTTGGATTTGAGTGCTTCATATGCTTGGTAGGCTTGGTCGAGACTTTGCTTCCACGAAGCACATAATACCTCCAATCTTCTCTTTTGATCCAATGACTTTGAAAGTCGAAGAGATATGCCTTTTCCTTCCTCCCGCAAACCCTTTTGCTTCAACATGATCTCTTGGCTCTGGAGCTTCAAAGCAGCATGTTTAGACTTGATCGAATCAAGCTCTCGTTGCAAGGCAGAAATGGTACGCTCCGCATCTTCCTCAGATTGCTTGAGCTTCATCAATTCTGGAACGATCTGAGAAGTAGAGTCTTTGATCGCTGTCTTGAGCCTTTCCAATTTGCTTCGATCCTCTTCAGAATCAGCCTCAATTTGAGCTATCTATTGATTCGCAGCGGACCACTTAGTGTGCAATTCGGAGGCTGCAGCAAAGGTATGAGCATATTCATTTAACTCTACGGTTACCTCCAAAGGAAGATCAGAATGTGCATTCAGCTCATCAACCATCCGCTCAACATCCAGTTTGAATTGAGGGTCCATGAGAGCTTGATCGAGATGATCCACATAAGCTTTCGAACGGAAGGAAGATAATAGCGGTTGAAATCTCGCAACGGTTTCTTGGGTCTTCCCCGAAGCCGAAGTCCCGCTAGTCCAATTCTCCAAGACCTCAAAAATGTCATCTTGGGCAGCTTCGTTATCGAAGAAGCTTATAAGGTCTATGTCATCTAGAGGAATAGAAGCCAGTAGAGTGTCGGAAGGGACAACATCAGTTGAACTCACAGGTTGACCAGAAGGAGGAGTTTGTTTGTCCTCAAAAGTTACCTCTAGACCTGCACGAAAAAGATATTTCAGTAAGACAAGATACTCTTTGGTGGAATACCGTAATTACCAAGAGGTAATTACCTACCTTGTCCATAGGACACTCCTCTGTCGAAATTGAAGGAAGGTGCATCACCTTGTATAGGACCAGGAGGGGAAGGTTAAATGGTTGGCGCGGTGACAGGAACAATGGCCGTAAGAACATTGGAGGAAACCACCTATTATGAATAGCATTGTAACAATGCACGGATTCGAGAAAGGCCAGAAAAGAGAAATCGAGAGTCAACAGAACATACCTCATGATGTCCAAGAGGGGAGGCCGACTCGCGAATCTCGATAACATCTCGAGAAGATGGAGCAGCAGTAGGAGAAATGGGGGCACTTCGAGGGCTCTCAGAGGAAGATTCAGATGCCTTTGAGTCCATCTTTTTCTGAAAAAATGAGAAAATACTACAGAGGATAAAATCAAGGCAAAGAGAAAGGCGAGCAGGGTTTAGAATATTAGCACATTACCTGGACAGGGGATTTCATTGCATCCTTCATAAGCTTCTCAGTGGGGACTTTAGGTCTGGGGATAGACCTAGTCGAAATTGCCTTTTGTTTCCCTTTGTCTCGAGAGGATCTTTGAGTAGTGGAAACCTGCAAAATATAAAACGTGAAAGGGTCAGTATGACATTCGAATGGCAATTTCGAGTGCACTCAGAAAGATAACTTACAGATTGCCCACTTTGAGAATCCGAACGAAGTTTTTTCTTAGGAACTTCAACCTCCTACAAACAACAAAATGCAAATTCATGAGCGGCCATAAATTCAGCACAATTCAGAAAGAAGAAACATATTACCTTCGAACGAGACCGAAGTCGGTCAGAAAAGGTCTTTATTTTTCGAGGCTTCAACGAAGTATCATCTTCGTCATCCTCTGAAGCTGTCTCGCGTTGTTGAGTATCCTCGGGATGCTGAGGAACTTTTTGGGCAACAACAGCTAAACAAGAAGAAAAGGAAAATAAGTAGAGATGTGAAATTTGAAGCTGAATGCCACCCAAACTACGCCATACAAGTTGGTGTATGGTCACGAAGCAATTTTGCCTATTGATATCAATTTGCAATACATTCATGTGCAAAGGCAAAATGAGTTACCAGTCGAGGATTATTGGAATTCAATGTACGATGAACTAATTTGACTGGATGACAAAAGAATGACAGCCATGCAAAATGTCATTCACCAGAAAAAAAATAGCTCGAGTTTATAACAAAAAGGTTAAGAGTAAACAATTTTCGAGTGGAGACTTAGTCCTAAAAGTCATCCTCCCAATGGACCAAAAATCTCGAGATCGGGGTAAATGGACCTACAATTGGGAAGGACCGTTCATCATCGAAAGACTCTACTCGAACAATGCATACTTGATCAAAGAGTTAAATTCGAGAAATGCAAGTAAAGTGATCAACGGAAAATATTTGAAGAAATTTCATGAAAGTAGCATGTACTGAGAAGAGAAGAATGTTCAAAGAGATAAGGAATAAAGGTACAAGCGGATAAACATTAAATTATAAATAGGCATCAGGTTTTCGATCACTTGCAGAATTTGGATTTGAGTGCTTCATATGCTTGGTAGGCTTGGTCGAGACTTTGCTTCCACGAAGCACATAATACCTCCAATCTTCTCTTTTGATCCAATGACTTTGAAAGTCGAAGAGATATGCCTTTTCCTTCCTCCCGCAAACCCTTTTGCTTCAACATGATCTCTTGGCTCTGGAGCTTCAAAGCAGCATGTTTAGACTTGATCGAATCAAGCTCTCGTTGCAAGGCAGAAATGGTACGCTCCGCATCTTCCTCAGATTGCTTGAGCTTCATCAATTCTGGAACGATCTGAGAAGTAGAGTCTTTGATCGCTGTCTTGAGCCTTTCCAATTTGCTTCGATCCTCTTCAGAATCAGCCTCAATTTGAGCTATCTATTGATTCGCAGCGGACCACTTAGTGTGCAATTCGGAGGCTGCAGCAAAGGTATGAGCATATTCATTTAACTCTACGGTTACCTCCAAAGGAAGATCAGAATGTGCATTCAGCTCATCAACCATCCGCTCAACATCCA